AATGTATAAATAAAGGTTGAATGAATGAAAAATGGCTGCAAAAATGAACCAGAGGGGGAAAAAAAGGTAAACGAGACAATTTACATTGAAATGGCCTTTAAAAGTGCACGTAAAAGGCAGAAACTGAAACGTTTTGGGGCGTTTTTATCCGTAGTTTCTATTCCATGTTTTCAACGCGGAGTGAGCACTCTTCTGTTTGTTGTGGAGCCTTGTTGTCTACAGGTGAGCCCTGTTGCCACGGCAACGCTTCGCTTTCCCTTAGAAGTTTTCTCGCGAGACTCCAGGGCAAAGAGAGCGAGCGAGAGAGAGAAAGAGCGAGCGATAGCCTTGAATGAGCTCATCCCCTCGGCAAACTGCATACCGCAGCGAGGCTAAACCGCAACTTTCTACCAAACTTCCAAGTTGCCTTTCGGAGGGAGACACCGGGGACGGGGTTTTCGGAGCTAAACCGGAACCAGACCGCGAAGACAGAGGACAAAAAGGAGCTCTGCGTAGTTTTTGACTCGGGACTAAGCAGCACCGCACGAGTTGAGACAAAAGGAGGAAAACCGCGGTTGTTGTGTGACATCCAAAAAGAGGAGAAAAAAGGTGAGGGGATCACGTGCGGGCTGTCGGTGCACAAACATCTGTCGGCTGCGTGCACACGGTGGAGGCTGTGCGCCGTAAATCACAGCTTTTTTTATTTATTTATTCGAGGTAAACGGAAAGTGTCGAAATGTCCAAACCGCCGTGAATGTGTCAAGGGCACGCAGTTTTCCTGCGGGAAGGTGTTTCACATGTGGCTTCGTGTAGATGTGTGCAAATAAAATGGATGTCACCGTCCAAAAAAAAAAAAAAAAAAAAAAAAGCTCACCTGTCCCCCGTGCTGCCACGAGAGAAGCTCCAGATGATCAACATCTGTCCAAGCATGAGTCCACCTGCGTCTACATGCTCTAACATGACTTGCTTTAACTATATATGGTTTGATTAGAAACTTATTCTTAATGTAGGAAGTATTTTAGCTCAGTATGTGTAATATTCATCTTTGTGTAGTCTAAGGTCGATTAGCTGTGGTGGCCATCTTGAATTTGATTGACTCCAGAAGTTTATTGTGTGCAGATTTACATACAATCATTACTTTTTTAAGAGTTTCATTGGAATATGTAGTGGTTTATGATATATTTTGCTAAAAAAAAACCAAAAAAACCCACTTGTGTTCAAATTATGTGTTTTGGACGATCCTCAGCTACTACCACACCAAATTAGATCTCATTATCTGTAAAACGGACTGAGTTGTAGCCATTTTTGTGTCCTGTAAGATATGTGTGCATTCATTCAGTGATTACTTTCTGAAACTTTAATTCATCCCGTTAGTGGTTCGCGAGATGTTTTGCTAACGATGCAGACAAATGAACACGGATGCAAGCAAAACATGACTGACGCTTCGATGGCGGGTGATGAGCGTCGCCTCGACCATCACAGGAGAAAACAGAAAAAGTGAGGCGCTGCAGGGTCATTTAAGGTTATCACTGTGTTTACAAACCTTCACGGCAGATACACAAATATAATTACAGTGCTTTATGGCTACCTTGGCTTTCACCCATAAAATAACAGCAAGCCACAGAGTTTAGCTGTGGGCCAGGATCAAGGATTTTTAGCATTCTCCATAGGCTTAGCTGACCTGCAGTGGTGGGCATGACTGATCACAGCTCCACTGCCACCTTTACTGCTGACTCTAATCTTCCACCAGACTGCTCCCTACTTTTGATGGGATTCCTCGCAGAGGATAAATCTAACGCGAATGCAGCAGCTTTATTATGTTCAGGGAAAGAATGTTCTCTGTTGCTGTGTGGGTTTAATGGCTCATCTGAGCGGGGCTTGGAACTATTTTGAGCAAGGATAGGATGAAAAGAGCCATTCAAAGGAATCTAAAAGCAAATGTTGCCCCTTCAGGAGTTAGAAATACCACCCCTTGTGTTTCTCATCCGTATAAATAGTCCTCACATATATTACTGAAGAATTGTTTCTTTTTTTCCCACTTTGGCATCGTTCTTCTCGCACAACAGTTTTTATCGTTTCCCTTTGTAGAGAAGTTTGTGCAGAGGACGCATTCGCATGAGGACGTTTCCTGTTGCTAAGTTGAGCTTATTTTTCTATTGTCTCCTGTGTATTGATTCAAAGGGAATAGCTTGAACAAAGATAAAAGGAAACAAGAGGAGCTTTGTGCTGCTTTATAATTTGCCACTAAGGAATGTGTTGGCTGCAGCTGCTTGAATTAACTGCTTAAGTTTCATAGCATAATGGGATTATTGTTATTTACTTCTTTAACTTAAAAATCCCCATTTTTGTGGATTCAATGATTCACATTGTTAAAGTAGATCATGCTCTTATAAGAAAATGCTGCTTCTTCATCTGTAGAAATTTAAATATTGCACAATTGCTGTGATTTTGTGATCTTTTCCCCCTACTGAGATGTGACCCTTGATGCTTTGGTGCAGTTTTTGGTCAGAGGCAGGATCATTGGGTGGCTGAGTGGTTAGAGCAGTCATCCTCCAATGCAATAGTTGGGGGTTCAATTCCACCAGCAGTCACATGCCAAAGTGTCCCTGGGCAAGAACCCCTCATTGCCTCTGATGTGTGTCCCTTTGGTGTATGAATGTGATCAAGCACCGATTAGTCTCCACAGATTCAGATTAGCTTTGTATAGCTCTAGTAGAGTGCTGTATGAATGGGTAAAGAGGGCACAGCTTGTAGTGTAAGTGCTATATAAGTGCAGTCCATTTACCATCATTTCTTCACACATTGTTACGAACAGGAAGATGAGTCACATACTCCTACGTTTGGACCTAAATTTGAGCAATAATGTGGATGTATACAACTTTTCTACATAAAAAAGGAGAACTACAATGAGCTTGGAGAGTGATGCATGCGATGCTAGTCAGATCATAGTCAGAGGTCAAGTGACTTGAGGATGATGTAGCTTGTGGTGGGTGTGTTTTAGCATGAGCATCCTTTTGCTGGTGACAGATGGGGTTGATGAGTTTGACCATAATGAGGTGTGACTATGGGTCTGCGCTTCCTGCTGGTTGAACTGTTGGAATGTTCTCTTTGTCTGGGTCAGACGGCTGACTGTACATCGGCTGACGGAGGAAAGCTGACGGCTTGCGGGCTACCATAGTGATGATGTAATCTCTTCATTGCAGTGCTGACAAAGAAAAATCCCCCACATGAGACAAAGTTTTGGAAATTTCAATCACAAACTTACCAGCAGCTCAAACCCTGTCGTTATCTGTGCAGGAGATTGGGATTTATTCAGTGAGGCAGGTGCAGAGTGCCACAATTGCCTATGATGTGTTCCCGACTGACAGCCTGGACTTAATTTGTGGTCTCTTTCTTATATATTCATGAACTAAAACAATCTTGGTCTCTGGTTTCTGTCATTCTGCTTTCAACTCTCAAACCTAAACCAAAACCCACAGTCGGGCTGAGATCAGACGATGAGTAATTCCCCTCCTCTGCTCCCATCAAACCTCGCACTGGCTGAAAATAGTACGTGAGATAGAGCTCAGAAAACAGACATGACAAAGTAATTCAGAATAATAGCAAACAACCACTTTAAAAGAATGACAGCGAGAGATGGAAGAAATAGTGTTCCATAATAAAATCCGGAGTTCTACTAATGTTGATGATGTGTTGCTGCAGGCTATCTCCGCTGCCACCCATTGATGACGTGCTCGGCATTGTCTCGACATGTCTGCCAGTTGCTTCAGTCTCCTTTTTCGGCCCGAACACTTTCTCTGGAAGGGATTACAGAACTCGGCTCGGGGAAGAATCAAAACGTCAGTGAGAGCTGCGAGTCCACGCCTCGCACAGAACACGGGTGGGCAGCTTTGGAAAATAATTCCACATACAAAAAAAAAAAAAAGGAGGAGGAGAGAGAAGTAAAGCGCAAGAAAAAGAGAATCTAAGAAGCAGAAAGGAATGTTCGAAGGTTTTGGTCATGTCTGACACAGTACAGTTTTTGATGCATAGACAGGTCTGTTCGGTTAGTCCTCATTCCTCTTTATGTTTACAACTGTTTTCTGGAGCTACGTTCGCTACGTTTCATGTAGTAAATCAGGCAACATCAACACAGCGTGTGAGCTTATCTTCAGTATTATCAGTATTATTGGTATCGTAGCTCTAGGAACACGGATCAGATAAAACTTCAAGGCATCTAGACAGTGAAAGCATTCTTGTAGACGGCTAGCTTTCCTGCATTAAAACTAAAAATAATCATTCTTTGGATTTCTCCAGCATTCCACATCCTTTGCTTTAAAGTGAAAGGAATCCATTTCCAGTCTGGGAGTTTCTGCTTTGCTCTCGGCTCTCGGAGGGATGAATCAGACCGCTTTGAGGCAAACTCCTGAATTCAAATGACTTTATAAACAAATACAGGTTTCAGGTTGACTGAGGGGATATCCTTTTATTACCTCACACATTCTTTTAGGAATGAAATACCCTCCTATTTGTGTCTAATTAACCCCTACCATATGTAACACTACAGCGCACTGTCTGGAAAGTTGCACTGTAGTCCTTTTTTCTGTTGTTTCAGGTGCAAAGTGCAGATAGATCTGGATCATAACAATCATGGCAGCTATCCCAGCCTTTCCTCTTTTCATTGCCTGTTTCCTGTGTGCTTCAATGACATATTTTTGGATACTGGGCCTAGCTTTCCTCAGCAAGAAGCTCAGCTGAAACCAGAAATAAAGTTGGACTGGCAGTGTTGAAGGTGAAAATAGACCTCATCCCCCAACTTTTTTAAGCATTATAGACATTTTGTTGTATGTTTCTATAGAACCAGCTTAGCTTTTATCATTGCTATTGCTAGGAGTTGTGATTTGATATTGTTCTTGTGTTTACATAGCATACTTGACTTGAATACTAATTAGGAAGGAGTCACCTGTGGCTGTTTGCGATGAGGAAGTGAAAACTTGCTCCTGTGCATTTCCTCTAAAATGGGCACATTTTACGTCAGAAACACAACTCGACACACGTCCTGATGCATGCTCAATAATCCAGGTAGATAAATCTAACGAGCTGCAACAAACTCAGTCTTATACATGGCACCTTCTCAGCACAAAAGGTGCCGTTTGTAAGACTGAGTTTGTTGCAGCTCCTCAGACTGACGAAGTCTTTTGGATAAAAGCCGAAATGTTTCAACAAAGAAGAATCCGTCAAGAGGACCTCAGTCCAACGTAAACCCAGATTCTAGTCTAAAATATGTGTCAACTGCATATTCTCTTGAAAATGCAACAGACATGCAACTTGTCTAACTTCTTAGAGCGTATTTAGTGTTTAAAGCTTGCAGTGCTTTATTTATTTATTTTTGACGTGTCTTCAGTAGCTTTGTGCGTCAACTGTTAAAATGTAGAAAGCCAAGAAATCCTAGCAGAGATCATACAAATGATCCTTTTATTGTCAGTAAGTTTGAAGTACTCCCAAACTTTGGGCCCCATCGGCCTTTCAAAAGTTTTAATAACTTGTTCCATTTGACACTTGTCGCAGAGCGGGCTCTTCTTTATCTGCCATGACAGTTTGAAACTGCAGCTCAGGCGGAACAGACCGAA